CTGCTGGCGTCCTCATCCTTGGGCCTACACTCTGGGTTCCTGCTCTCTGACTGCTCTCTGGTTGTTCTAGGTCTCTGCTCTGCTCTGGTGTCCTGTCTTGAATCTTGTCTGTCTAGTCTGCAGCTGGCGGGTGGCTCTTGCTTGGCTATGCTCTCGAGCGCTCTTGAGAACTTCGGGTAACGTTAGCTGGCCGTGGATCTCTGTATATGCGAACTTACCTATACTTCAGGTCTCTCAAACTCACCAGGTCAATTAATGCTTAACGATGGCACGCCGATATTGATGCTGGATTCGGGTGCGTGCCCTTTACTTTTGACTGCATTGCCTATGAAGATCCTTGTGTTACAGATAACTGCCCATTCTTTTGCTCCTCTACTACATAGATATGCATGTAGTAGATACACCCATTTATACACCCACATTTATTCGATGATACTGCAGGCACGTACTAGTGAAAATGACCAGCAAGTTTGATGATATCAACCCGAATTTAACCCAGGTATCGGGTTCTCAAAAGCACCCGGCACACGGGTTACAGTAACCATATCAAAAATGCCTCAAGGACCGGGGGAAAAGCAAAAGAAAAATAGTCAAAGTCACCCGGTAGCAACCCAGTTGTAACCCGGAATTTTAACCCATTTAGTGGGTTAACGGATTTGCGTACGGGTTACATTCATCCACAATTCAAGCTAAATACACTTGTTCTCTGGGTTAAAAACCGGGGCAAAAGAACCCGGTTTAAGTCTTACAGTGCCCGCGTCTGTCGTACCGGCCAAGTACCGGCACCCAACTCAAGAATTGATCCACTCTCTTGACGCTCAGCCGTTAACCGCGTCCACTGCAATTTCGCCTTCGTTATCACATTGCAGGAGGTATCGTTCCATTGTCGCAATCCTGCCGTGGAATTTTAAACAATGAACATACCACATTTTGATTGCACTGCAACAAAATGAGGTATACTGTAAACTAGGGGGAGAAACTTACCTGGTTGTTTAACCCGACTTGAACCGTTCAAAATCGGTGCAGGGCTTTGTGTTGTACCTCAAAATTGAAAGTGAAGTGGGCTTAAGTCGAGTGGCAGCGGTTGGATTATTTGCTCCACGTATAGACAATAGTCGAATACAATGGAGCTAGCGACCATGAGGTGATTGGGACGCATTTCGTGTATGGAGTGCAGTGCGGGTGCCAGTGGCGGGGATCGACGCGATAGAACCTTCGAGGAAGCGAAGATCAGCTCCGGATCACGAACGTAACCGAACGTAATAATAGTAATCCACTGTCCCCTCCCAGTATTGAGCTACCGCGTCGTGACAGAGCTTTTTACAAATCACATGACCGTGTATGTCTTTCCCGATTGGTCCGTGATCTCCGTCCCCATCTCTCTCGCCGGTGCTCCGACGCTCCCTACCGAATACGCGTCCTTTCACTAGTCTCTCTTGACGGACTCCCTCGCTCGTTCCTCGTTCCACCATATTCCACCAAGCTGCCCTGCCCTGCCCAAGAAACCGATCACGAGCAGAGTCAAGACCTCCGGCGTCACGGCCCCATGGGCCAGCTCAGGCTGCTAGTGACTCCTCGATGAAATGAAGCAGGCACGCGCCCGGTGATAAAGCTCAGTCGACGCAGCAGCAGCCCCACTTTCTCCTCGCCTCTCCTCGCCTCTCGCCTCGCCTCTCCAGCCCACCAACAGTCCGCCGCCGTGAACGCCGCCCGGCGCGCACCATCCCACCAACCTCCCGCCCAACAGGCAGGGACAACGCGGCCCAAGCCTCAAGCCTCAAGGCGCGCGTGAGGACGAGGGGAGGTCAAAGTGCGCGCAAACAGAAAAGCGGCAAGCTTCCCCACCCCACGCCCGCGCCCCATCCCGAGCCTGAGCCCGAGCCTGAGCCCGAGTCTGAAACAGCGGAGGCGTAGGCGGAGGGTGGGCTGTAGCTGCAAACGCGCGTCAGCAAAGGTGTGTGACCGAGAGGAAACAAGGGGAGAAGGAGGAAAGAGAAGGAAGAACGACGTTGGGCGCCCCGCTACCTGCCTGCATCCGGCAGAAGGACACATGCGCCCGCTGCGAGCACAGCGCGGACGCCCCCGCGGCCCCCCATTCCCAAATACCCGTACGTAAATCCGCTCACGGCGCGCTGTCATAGCTCACAAATGAGTGCGGACACAGCGCTAGGCCCTGCGCAGCGGCACGGGCGGCGACAAGAGGAGAGCCAGCACGAGCCCCGCCCGCGAGAGACGGACAGGCCCTTCGACGGTCGACACGCAGCAGTCCCGGACGGCGCAAGCGCCGCTCGCACGCAGGGCGCCGGGCCGTGCACGTCGAGAGCCCCAGCACCGCGGCGCACGAGATGCCCAAAGATGCGAGCGGGCGGGCGGGCGCAGTGCGAATGCGCGCACGGCTCGACAAACAGCCACGAGGCCCGGCGAGACAGGGAGACACGCCGAGGAAGAACGGAAGCGCCAGCGCTGGCGACCCGTTCACAAGAAGCCAGCGCCTGCCGGCTGCGCGTACCTCAAGGTCCGTGCACGGCGGTCTCAGGGAACACAGCGCCACCGCGCACGATGCGCGCCCAGGAACGGAGTGCGAGAAGCACGGCGCAGACACCACTGCGCCATGCCGTCCGCAAACGGACGAGCGGGAAGGGGGCGTGTACGTCTCGCGCTCGGAAGAAACGAATGCACGCGCAGTACAGATGCGTAGAAATACGCGCAGATCCCCCAGGAGCCCGCAGCCAGAACGACACCCGCAGACTGGGAGAAAACACGACAACTCGAGAATGAAAAGCCAAGACTCACCTCGACTCGTCGAAGCTGCTCCTCGAACTAGCGCTGACCGTCGCGCTCGCCCCGCTAGACGGGCGGCGCCGTAGGGTGACCGTGTCGATTCGCAGCGTTGGCGGGTGGTGCCCATACGCATCGAGGAGCCCGTGTGTGTCGAGGTGGTGCGCGGATCTGTGTCCTTGCTCGAAGTGCCCGCGCGAGTCCAGAGCGTCCCCGTGCGCGTGTCCGTGCGCGCAGAGGTGCGAGTCGCGCACGGGGTCGAGCGCGTACCCCGTCTCTAGGGGGAAGTGCTGCTCGCAGTGGGCGTGGGCGTGGGCGTCGCGGTGGTGCTTCGCGTGGTGCGCGTGGGGGAGGGGTTGTGCATGGGAGTGGGAGTGGGAGTGGGAGTGGGAGTGGGATTGAGGAACGGGGAAGTCGTCGAGCGCGCGGCTGCACACGTCGTACGCGAAGCTGTCGTAGCTCCCGCGCCGCGAGTCGACGTCTTCGCCATACATCGGGGATGCATGCTCCACTGTGGTGGCAGAGAGCAAGCGCAGATCGAGCGCCGCGCCCTGGGAGATGCGCTTGGGGCTGGACAGGGCGAGCGGGCGGGTGGACGCGTGCGGCGGGGGCGCGGCGCCCGGCGGGAGCGTCGCCGTGCGGCGCCGCCTTGGCTTCCCCAGTGCCGCCAGCGTGAGCGCGCCGGTGGGGGAGAGCATCGAGTATGGGAGGGGGGCGGGCGAGTGGGGCTGGGAGGACGCGGAGACGGAGGCGTGGCGCGAGCGCGGGGTACGGTTGGGCCCGCGCACGCGGCCCTCTTTCGCGTACTCGCAGACGAGCCCGCGGGCGAGGCAGCGCGTGCACGAGGGGTGGTCCCCGGAGCACTGTCGTGTCTCAGTAACCCAATCCCAGCAAGGAAGCAGGAAACAGACCTTGGCCTTGCGAGTGCGGCACTTATCGCAAGCCTGCGCGGTGCGGAGGCGAGGGTGCTCGGGGGTGCGGTAGAAGATGCCCGTGGTGGGGTCGAGGCTGCCCGCGAGCGTCATGCGCGGCGGGGGCGGGGGCGCGTCAAACGCCCACGCCGGCAGCCCGCCGTCGTCCGCGGTGGTATACTTGATGTGCGGGTACTCCATGTCGACGTACAAGTCGCCCATCCCAGCGCAGCGAATAAAAATGTGAACGAAAAATGAAGAAGAATGCAGAGCGTTATTTAGCGAGGCTGGCTGGATGAGTTTGCGCTGGGTTACTTCCCGATCTGGTTGGCGAGGAGGCTAATTCGATTCTCCCGGCGATTCAGCGTAGGTCGCCGGTGTCCGAGGACGGGATCGTCGGTCAGCAGTGTGATGGTAAGGCGGTGACGTCTGAATGCCCCCGACGCCGGTGGTGCTGCCCGATCGCTTGCTAATACGATACGATTCTTATAGCTTACCCCTCAGTCAGTCAGTCACTCGGTCGTCATTATATACGACGGGCGACAGCTGCTGGGCCCAGGCCCGCGATTTTGAATACCCTGCCCGGTGCCCTGCTTCACCCTCACTTGCTGCACATTACTTATCGCCACGCCCTCCCCTTCCCTCCCCAACACAGAAATCCCACGCCCGAATCGCGCCTGCGCGCGCCGCCGCCACCGTGCCTCCCACCTTTCCCCTCGTACGTAGCGCACGCAACTGGGCGCCGCATCGTAATAGAACTTGACACACCGCTGGCTCTCGCACAAATTTATAGGAGGATCTTGATTGAATTGACGGAGACACCGCCCTCTTCTCGAACTTCTGTCGAGAATTCTTGCAGAATGTTCGATGGACGCCACACGCGGTGCCGAACTTGGCTTCTGTATTCATTCAAGCACAAATAAAATGCGAGGTGAGTTCCGATTCGAGCCTCATTTTCATCTCGTACCTTCAATCAAGTTCGAGATTCCAGTCCTCCAGTCGTTCGGAATTCAAATCGCTAGGCGAAAATCCCGCTCTAGCAGGTCGTGCTCATCCGAATTCTCCGAGTAACTGTGTGTGTTATCAAACAAAAAAGCTCTGCAAAACCCCGCACATCCCCAGGTGCATAACAGAGGTAAAGAGCGGACGTGGTACACCGTGCACCGCTGCCTTCACTGAAATCGGCGAATATTGCAAGCAGTTGAAGGGGTTCGACTCCCCGCGTCCGCCTTCGGGAGCGTCCCCCAGTAACCTTTTTCCTGCCAGAGTATAAACAGCTGGTATTAGTGAGGGACAGAACGGAGGTAGGAAGCGGACGTGGTGCACGGCGCACCACTGCCTTTCTTGGTACCGTCCAGGCAATGCAAGCAGTCCACCGGGGTTCGACTCCCCGCGTCCGCATCTTCTTGCGCCTTGGTGTTTTTTTCTTCTTCTTTTGGCTCGGAATATCCAAAAAGGTTGCGTAAGAAGAGGCAAGAAGAGGCAAGGCAGGGAGGTAGGAAGCGGACGTGGTGCACGGCGCACCCGTGCCTTCAATAAACTATTAAACAAAAGTAAAAGCAGTCAAACGGGGTTCGACTCCCCGTGTCCGCATGGTCCATGTCTTTCAGTCCACTTTTTTATTATCCAGGCCTGTGAGAAGAGGGTAAGAGGAGGGGAATAAGACAGAGAAAGCGGACGTGGTGCACGGCGCATAACTGCTTTCAATGTTTAGATTTATAAAGTGCCAGCAGTTGATGGGGTTCGACTCGGACTCCCCGCATCCGCCTTATACTTTTCTCGTGCTTTTTTTCTCTTTCTGCTCAAAGGCTTCAAAGTCCAGGTATTATTGAGGCAAGGAGAGGCAAGGAGTAGAGGTAGGAAGCGGACGTGGTGCACGGCGCACCACTGCATTCTATGTTGTAACAATTTGTGAGTGTTGAAGCAGTATATATATATACGGGGTTCGACTCCCCGCGTCCGCCTTGCTTTTCTCTCTGCCCTTTTTTCTGGACTCGAAGGCTTCAAAAAATCTTGGGTAAGAGGCGGAAGAAAAGGGAGGTAAGAAGCGGACGTAGTGCACGGTGCACCGCTGCATTCTGTAAAAACTCTGGAGGCATATAGAAGCAGTTGATGGGGTTCGACGCCCCGCGTCCGCCCTGTTCCCTCATCTCTTCCATTTTTTTTTTCTTTTCAGTAGACTGCTAGAAGATGGATGAGGAAAGGGAAATAAGACAGAGATTAAGCGGACGTGGCGCATGGTGCACAACTGCCTTCAATGAGCTTTCTTCAATAATGCTCAGCAGTTGAAGGGGTTTGACTCCCCGCGTCCGTATAGCATCTTTCTTCCAATTTCCCCCCCCCCCCCCAACAGACTGCCACAAAAACAGAGATTAGAAGAGGGTAAGAACAGAGGTAGGAAGCGGACATGGTGCACGGTGCACCACTGCAGCATTTGAACGAGGTTGAAATTGTAAGCAGTTGCACGGGGTTCGACTCCCCGCGTCCGCATAAACATCTTGTTACAGTCAGATCAATTTTTTTTTTACGTGCTTCCAAAACACGCCAATATGGAGGGGTAAAATAGAAGTCGCATGGCGAGCCTGTCATATTCTGCAACCAACCTGGAGATGAACCTGCTCAAAAGGCTAGGTGTCCGCATCTGCCTGGCAGGCATTTGTTCTCACGGTTCGGATTTGCTTTTCGCAAGCCAAAAACCTGCATGAGAAGAGGGAAGGAGTGGAGGTAAGAAGCGGACGTAGTGTACGGCGCACCACTGCATTCCTTTGGAATTAGACGTAGTTGAAGCAGTCAAACGGGGTTCGACTCCCCGCGTCCGCATGATACTTTCCAGCTTCCAGTTTTCTTCTCTCGCGGGCAAAAAGCCTTGGATGAGAGGAGGGTAAGAAGGGAGACAGGAAGCGGATGTAGTGCACGGTGCACCGCTGCATTTCTTGAGCGGTCGAGCGAAAGATTGCAAGCGGTTCAAGGGGTTCGACTCTCCGCGTCCGCTTTGTTTCTTCCTTTCCCACCTTTTTTCCCCTCGAGTATCATGGATGTGGGGAGGGCTGAGAGGGAGGTATGAAGCAGACGTAGTGCACGGCGCAGCACTGCTTCAATTTAGTTGAGTATCCCGTGATTACATGCAGTTGATGGGGTTCGACTCCCCGCGTCCGCCTTGCTCGGTCTCCATGTTTTTATTCTCAAATGTCTGCAAGGGCTTGAATGAGAAGAGTACTAAATGGGAGCTAGGAAGCGGACGTGGTGCACGGCGCACCGCTGCATTCTATAATTTGAGTACGATAGGTGTAAGAGCAGTACAACGGGGTTCGAGTCCCCGCGTCCGCGCTATCCGTTCTTTGCTGTTTTTTTTTATTGTCTTCGGCTGATTCTAAAGCCTTTAAATCTGGAGAGGGAAAATATAATGAACACACATACATTCATTATACTCCCTTGTATTCTAAACCAAGAGTCGTCTAGGTTCCCTGCGGGACATTTTTCTCACGGTTCGGATTCGAAAGCATGCTACTTGAAGAGGGCGGGAACGGAGGTAAGAAGCAGACGTGGTGCACGGTGTACGACTGCCTCAATTTCATCCGCTGAGAAGTTTTGAGCAGCAAAAACGGGGTTCGACTCCCTGTGTCCGCCTTCTCGAGGCTCCCTCCAGCTTTTTTTCACTCGTGGGCAAAAAGCCAAGATGAGAAGAGGGCTAAAAGGAAGGGAGGAAGCGGACGTAGTGCACGGTGCACCACTGCTTTCAATTCGGCAGGCGACATGGTTAGGAACTTCAAGCAGTTGAAGGGGTTCGACTCCCCGCATCCGCATTTGACTTTCTTTGGACCTCTCAATGGCTTCCAAAATCTCAGACGAGAAGAGGGTAAGAAGGGGGGCATCAAGCGGACGTGGTGCATGGCGCACCGCTGGCTCTAGTGTAAAGATTTTTATTGTCAAGTGCAGGCGGCTCAACGGCCCCGTGTCTGCGTTTGTGATACGCGATATCCAATTTTTTATCACGGGCCGCCCAGCGGGTATTATGGAAAGAAGAGTATACGTACCACAAAGCGCAAGACAAATCCATCCTATGCCCGATGAACCCAAGGTCAGAACATGGAAACATTTCAGGCGGCGGGGTCAAAATCAGTTTCGTTGTCACGGTTCGGATTCGAATACATGCTACGTGGGGTGCTTAGAGCCACAAGCAGGCGGGCGTAGTGCACGGCGCGCAACTGCCTTAGCGACCGTGCTGGGTGGTGGTGGTTTGAGGTCAAGGTGGATGACGCTGCCAAACTCGCCCAAACTGAGCGGAGATTGCCGGCCTCCTTGTCTTTCACCCTCATTGCCACTCCAGCGATGTTCCTCGACATCCTCCGAAATCAGCTTTCCGACCTTGACATCTCAATATCCCAGCATGAACGTCTTCTACAGGAGCTCAAGGAGCAGAGAGCGGCCGTACAAGTTCAGCTCGATTGCTTTGTTTATCCCATTCTAACCCTTCCCCCCGAAATCACATCCGAGATTTTTCTTTGGTGTTCTGAACCCGATATTGGCACTATTGATCCAGAACTGTCCCCACTCCTCCTCCTGCAAATATGCAAAGCGTGGAGAGAGGTCGCTCTCTCGACTCCTGCCCTATGGGACACCATCTGCGACACAGAGTTTAGCGACCCCCAAAACATGGAGAATGCGATCACAACCTGGTTTAGCCGTGCCGGGAGTCGTCCTCTTTCCCTTGACGTCGCTTACATTGGAAAACGATCCACCTGCATGCATTCCCTCATCCGCCGGCATGCATCGCGTCTGCAGTTCTTGACGTTGGGCCTAGATGCAGACTATTTCTCCGACCTTGCAGGCATCCGATCATTCCCTCGCCTCCGTCATCTCAGTCTCACTTCTGTTGACGGTGCGCTTGAAGCAAACGGGACCCAGATCCCATTCTTCAGTGACTCTCCTCTGCTTTGTCACCTCGAAGTAGCGCACCTGGCACCATCGAGGTTGATGATGCCATGGTCGCAATTAACCAAGTTCACTGCCGCCTCGGTCGCTTTTCAGGAATGTTTAGGCGTATTGAGACTGGCTACGTCCCTTGAAGAGTTCCGTCGCGTTGATTGTCCCTTGGAGGAAGAGGAAGGGTCGATCATCGGGCAGCCGCTCATGTGTTACTCCGACCTGAACTCTCTCATCGTGGGCGCGTATGACGATGCTGACCACGATATTCTTCAATTCCTCACCCTACCCCGCCTGGAAACGCTGCAGTTCGGAGGCGACTACGGTTCATGGACCAGCCCTCTAAACACCGCAGTTCTCCAGTTCTTATCCCGCACATTTTCCACCTTGCGGACCTTTACTATCGGCCTGTCACCCACAATCCCCACTGAATGGTTCCATATCACAATCCATCTCACAACTCTCGAGCTCGTCGGACCGCAGTACGCGACTGACGTAATCCGTGCACTAGACCGCCGCAACGCTCCGGATTTTCTTCCAAAGCTCCAGACTCTTGTGTACTCAGAATGCACTTCATACCAGGTGGACATTAACCTCGTGGATGCATTAAACTCCAGAAGTATCGATGCTGCAGCGGGCACGGATACCTCATGTGCGAGACTCGAGTCGTTCCACCTGATCTGGCCGGAGTACGAGGATGTCGGAACTCTTCCCCTTGCGCATGTGGCATCTCTCCGCACGTTGGCGTCGCAAGGAATGCATATCCACATTGGAACGCGCGACCGTAATACCTTCAACTAGCTATTAATTGCGGTATCCGGTACGCACCACTTCCTGCTTCCCCCTCAATCTGATTTTTACGTTGATCTGTTTGCGGCAGCCCAATTAGTCTCATACTCCAGTCGACGATGAATGGCGAAGAATTCCAAGATGGCGGGCTGTTGCCCAGTTTCCACCTCTTCCATTGTCCTGATGTAAATAGTTCCATTGACTTTGCATGAAGAATACTAGATTGGCATAATTTATTGCACTCGCCCGAAACACAGGACTTGGGAAAATGCTAAACTCACGTATCTACATAAATTGCAACGCATTTGTCCTTGGATCCCGCTCCTACTCTCCTACAATCTCTACACTCAGACACATAAATAGGACTCGACCATGGACGCTGGCCTACACGAGGACCCCCACAGATTCTGCGAGTCCAAGCGATGCTCCGACCTCCTGAACGGTCGCATCTTGGTATGCTGCTCGACAGGAAGAATTGAGGAAGAACGTGAAAAATTGAATAGCGCGTGGCACCGTTTGCAAGATCCACTGATTTGAACTGTCCTGAAGATGCTGATTGCAAACACACCATCTTGAAGGCTGGCCCAACGGGACTATGGGCCACTGCTTCTTTATTGCCGGTGAACTTTCCATCGGCAACGGCCGACTTCTAGTCGATATAGCGAAACACTCTGAGCCCGTACAACTTCCTTTTTTCTTTCTCCATCAGTCTAATTCTGAAGTATTTTTAGGTTATGAAACCATATCTAGTGCGTGCTTTATATTCTGCATACAATGAATCTAATCAAGTTCGGCTTGACTCAGTCTGACTGTGTAATCCTTCCCACCGGTATACCGCGTGGTCCTATATTCCTACTTTGATCATCAAGTTGCGACGAGCG